AGGTTTGTCCCACCATACTGGAAATACATTAATATCATGCCTGCATTTTTCTATCATGCTGATCACTTCCTTCCAATTACTAGGCCATTGCAAATATGGGAAAATGGTGGTAAATAGTTGCATCATGTCCTTGAATATGAGATACTTGACTCTACCAATGTTGGACTGCTTGCGTTAATATTTAACTGAACACCTGTTCTTCCACAGATTCCAACAAATGAAAATGGGGAGAGCCTGATTTAGAAGTTTGTGAATCTCATTGCTGTGTCGAATACTTCTCCAAGTCATCAGCAAGCTTCTCAAAGTAGTGGATGAGTGTTCAATTCCCATCAGTGCTGAGTGGACCTTCCAGATGTGATTGGCAAAATTCCCAGACACAAGAATGTGATCGATTTCGTCACTCCCTGGTCTGTGACAGAAGTAGCATCTGGCTGGCTCTATCCCAAAGTTGGTTAGCTTTTCGTTAGTTGGCAACTTGCCCCTCAAAGCTCTCCAAATAAACAAAGACACTTTGAATGGGAAGTTTTATGCCATATGAAAGTGTTGATCAGGTCCTTGGCATGTTTCTTCCTGATACTTTCCCATGCAGATGAGATAGTAAACTGACCACTATCTGTAAGTGTCCAGATTGCTTCATCTGGGACATCTTCATGGTGCTGAATAGTAGTATTAAGAATGAGAGGAACCATGAGAGGAGGAGCATGTTGTCTCACTGAGCTTTCTTTCCATTGTCCTTCTTCAATAAAATGTGCTACTTGGAGGTTATTTAAACTAGATATATTGTCACTGTGGTCTGCCAGAGGACCATTCCCAAGCCAATTGTCCCACCAAAAGTTACAGCTTCCTGAGTGAATTTTCCAGGTAATGTGAGGATCCATAGCAGGTTTGTTTTTGAATAAATATTTCCAAACCAACGATTGTCCAGTGTCCCATTTCTTGGCCACTGGATTGGCTCTTTGACAATACTTGGCTTTTAAAAATTGTCCCCATAAAGAGTTTTTTGTTCTGAAGGTCCACCATTGTTTATATTGAAAGGACGTACAAATAACAGAAAGAAGTCTCACTCCTATACCACCCTCATCAGTAGGATAACTGAGTGTTTCCCATGAAGCCCAATGGTATTTTTTTCTTTCTTTGTCCATTCCCCAGAAGAAATCAGCAGTTATACTCTTCAGATATTTGATGGTGGTTTTAGGAGGAGAGATAGCAGTCATAGTGTGAATAGGAATAGATTTCAGCACATGTTTCCCAAGAGTGACTCTACCTCCAAAACTTAAAATTCTGGATTACCATCCACTAATTTTCTTAATCACCTTGTCCACCAGTTCAGAGTAATATATAATCCTCTGTCCTCCAATGTACAGGGGGCAACCCAAGTAATTAATGGGACTCTCTTTCTTATTAAACTCAGTGCTCTCCTTGATCATAACAATGATATCTGGATTGGTACCTGCAGGGACCATAAAATGACTTTTGGACTTGTTTAGGAGTTGGTCAGAAACTGCCTCATAGGTAGAGATAGTCTTCATAATAAGCTGCAAAGATTCCCTAGTTCCTGATGTGAAAATAATAATTTCATCAGCAAAGCTCAAATGGTTGATCTGTGGACCTTTGAGTTCCATTTGAAACCCCTTGTACATCTGATTTTGATGAAGAAGATTCAGCATTCTTGATAGGGAAAAAGGACGGATTTACCCCCGAACTTTAATAAATGGTACGTCTATGCCCTCCGTTATACTTTGCGTCCACATAAGCCCCTGCCATCCAATTATAGGTACACACATGCCCCTCTCACTAACGGCCTTCTCATTTTTTACACGTGTCTTAATCCTAATCAACTACCCGTTTGACCTTTCTTTTTAACCCATAAACCAACTACCCGCCCCATAAATCCAACACCCACCCAATTTCCTCTAAGATATATCCTAATTAAAATACCCAAATCTAAAGGTCCGTTCCTATCACACAAAACCCTAGTCTTCATCAAGTTCATCGATTTAATAGTATTCTACAGTTTCTAAAGCACAAAATCTTTTGTTCACTTCAGTCTACGAGCTCGCATCTTCTGTTATCGATGCTCTTAAGCAAAAGTTCCCCATCCCTTTCTATTCGATTGGTCCAGCAATACCTTACTTTACTAGCGAAAAAAATCCCTCCTCAACTACTTCAATCGATGAACCATAGTACATTAAGTGGTTAAATTCTCAACCAAATGGTTCTGTTTTGTACATTTCGCAAGGGAGCTTTCTCTCTGTCTCGCGTGATGAACTTGATGAGATCGTAGCTGGTGCGCACGATAGTGGTGTTCATTTCTTTTGGGTGGCACGTGATGAAACTGTTCGATTTCAGAAAAATGGATGTAGTGTAGGGCTTGTTGTGCCCTGGTGTGACCAATTGAAGGTGTTGTCACATCCTTCGATTGGTGGATTTTGGTCACATTGTGGATGGAATTCGACTAAAGAAGCAGCATTCTCAGGCCTTCCAATGCTGACTTTTCCGATATTCTGGGATAAAAAAACTAACAGTAAGCAAATTGTTGAAGATTGGAAAATTGGTTATAGGGTGAAAAAACATGACAAATGTTCGATATCGAGGGAGATTTCTAGGTTGTTGAAATGGTTTATGGATTCTGGAAATGAAAGAAGTGATGGCAACGAGGCGAAGAGCAAAAGAAATACAGAAAATCTGCCAGTTTTCCACTGCAAATGGAGGATCCTTTGAAATTAAAATTGATGCTTTCATTAAGGGTTTTAGATTTGGGTCTTTTAATTTGGATATATCTTAGAGGAAATTGGGTGGGTATTGGGTTTATGGGGCGGATAGTTAGTTTATGGGTTAAAAAGAAAGGTCAAACGGGTAGTTGATTAGGATTAAGACACATGTAAAAAATGAGGGGGCCGTTAGTGAGAGGGGCATGTGTGTACCTATAATTGGACGGCAGGGGCTTATGTGGACGCAAAGTATAACGGAGGGCATAGACGTACCATTTATTAAAGTTCGGGGGTAAATCCGTCCTTTTTCCCAAAATCCCTTCTTGATAATACCTTAGCCCCCAAAATAAATAGGGCAAGGGATAAGGGATCACCTTGCTTGAGACCTCTTGTAGAGTGAAAGAAACCATGCCTTTTGCCATTAATGATCACAGAGTACCAGTTGTTACTCATAATTCTCCAGACCCTATCTATGAAAAGTTCTCCAAACCCCATTCTCCTCAAGACCAGGCAAGTATAGGACCAAGAAACCCTATCATATGTTTTAGCCATGTCAAGCTTGCTCACTACATTATCTCCTTCTTTGGGTTTTTTGATGCCATAAATGATTTCTTGGGCCAACATGATATTTTCAGAGATGTTCCTTCCCTTAACAAAACCAGATTGGTTTTCAGAAATTAAATTAGGGAGGATAGGATCAAGTCTGATGCTAAGGATCTTGGAAATGATCTTGTTGGAGAAGTTGTTAAGACTGATGGGTCTAAATTCATTAAGCTTGTTTGGATGGTCCACTTTAGGGAGGAGTACCAAACATGCATGAGTCATGAATTCGGGCATAATATGACCATTAAAAAAGGACTGAACTGCAACCAGTAGATACTTCTTAATAATCTCCCAACAGGCCTGATAAAATTTTCCTCCAATGCCATCAGGCCCTGGTGCTGAGTGAGGGTTCATAGACATTACCACTTGCTTCAATTCCTCCATGGTTGGCATGCTGTCTAGGACCTGGTTTTGCTCGTGAGTAAGCATTCTGGGAATACACTGCAGAATATCTTCACTGATTCTGTCATTATGTCCAGTGAATATGTTCTGAAAAATATTGACAAGCTTCTTTAGCAATGTTATCATCCCCTTGTACCCAATCTCCTTCTTCTGTACAGATTTTGTGAATGAAAAGCCTCCTTCTTCTTCCCCTCATAAGTGCATGAAAATACTTGGTATTTGCATCCCCTTCCTTGAACCATTGTAACTGAGTTTTCTGCTGGAGAATGGACTGCTCCAACTTCAAGTATCTAATATATTGGGCATTAATGTTGTGCAGCTTGGACCTGTTTTCTTCATTATTGGCAGTAATGATTTCTTCTTCAGCAACTCTGACCTGCTCCTCAAATTCTTTAGTTTTTGCAAATATATCTCCATACTCCATTCATGACCAACTACTCAGGGTGCTAGTTAGCCTCATCATTTTAGTATGTAAGGACCACATGGGATTACCAGAAACTTCCGTTTCCCAGCATGTCTTAACAGTTGAATAGAACTTAGGATTTTCAGTCCAACAATTCAGGAATTTGAAGTACCTAGTAACTTGATCTTGTCTCATAGTTATTTCCTGCAATAGTGGACAGTGGTCTGACCCCACTGATGGAAGATGAGTAATAGTGGTTTGAGGCATAACTTCAAGCCATTTATCATTGACCATGGCCCTATCAAGCCTTTTCCAGATCCTAGCCTCTTCAGCCCTTTGATTGCACCAAGTGAAAGGTTGACCATTGTACCCAATATCAATCAAACCACAATCCTCAATGACACTAATAAACTCAAAGCTCTTGTTCATGTTGTAGTCTCTACCTCCTTGTTTCTCCTGAGTGGAAGTAATTACATTGAAATCTCCAATAGTACACGAAGGCATATCTTTTTCAGAGAATTGCAAGAGTCTATCCCACAGGGGCCTTCTGAGTTGATCTTTGCATTTGGCGTAAACATAAGAGGTAATATATTTCTCAGGATACTCTGCATGCTTCAGTTCACATGTAGTGTGCTGCTCATCAGTTTCAAGAATTTTACAATCAAACTCTCCAGCCCAAAACAACCATATTTTACCATTAGGATTACTGTGGGCCTTGTCCATATTCAACTAAATTCTATAATGGTTGATTTGGGAAGTATCTGCAAAAGGTTCAAGAATTGTAATCATGGAAAGATTGTGTATTTTCTTGAGAGTTTGGATCCTTTCCAAGGATCCTTGGGTGTTGATACTTCTAGCATTCCAACAAAGTGAATTAATCATCATAAACCTCTTCTTTTAGATCTAGTATTTGGTCTGCTAATGGTAGTAGATTTACTGTTGGATTTCATGATTTGTCTCGTGTCCTTCCTTCCTCTAGGAGATAGGCCTTGTTTCCCTGTGACCTCTTTGACCTTTTCTTCATTTTCAGTATGAAATATGGAACCAAAGGCCTTAATTAAATGGTTGTTGATCCCTTCCTCTTCATCCTCATTGTCATCTATGGATTGAGTATCTTGGTCATATTCAACCTCAGAAATGTCAACCCCATATTCATCAAACTCCTCTTCAATCTCATTCTGCCCCTGCTGTCCAATTTCAGAGCCTCTTTCCCTTTGTTGTCTTTTTTTGATTGCATGTCTCCTTTTTTTACTTAACCTAGCTTGAGATTTATTGTTAAGTGGTTTATCAGTTGCTTCCCCTGTATTCTTAATATTCTGTGGAGTCTGACAATTTGTCCTTTCCATCTCCTGTTGAATATTATTGTTATGCTTCCCATCAATACCATGTTGTAGCTGTCCCTGATTACTAGTTCCTGCATCTTGATCTCCATTGTTTATGCCCTGTATAAGTTGATCATCTGCTTGCTGATGCTGTGCCTGAGTCTTCCTGTTTTGAGGGGTTGCAGGAGCTCTACAGTCTCTAGGGTGGTCAGGGTATTCCCCCTCATGCAGAACATGAGTCATATCCCTCCCTTTGGTTACCCCATCTTGCAGATTAGTTGGTTTCTCCTTTATCCCTCCATCCATCCCTCCAGATACTTCAACAATATTCACAGCAGTCTCAACAACTATAGTATTGGGGTGATGGGGTAATAGGAGACTTGAGTCAATACCTGTGCTCTTGTTTATATGAGTGACTGCTTCTTGATTCTTCTAGGAATGTCTTTCATTTTGATGGTTTGTGGAAGGTGAATCCTTACTTGATTCGTACTTTGCTTGGTCTTCTTGCTCAACTGTCTTATTATTGATGTCCTTTCCAGCCTCATCTGTGCTAGCTTGTTCCTGCATTTCTAAATCACTGTAAATGTTTTGAGTGGGAACAATGTGAATTGTACCTATTTGTGGTGGTTGCTGTGGAACCTGTTCCTTGCTTTCTTTATGTTGAGGTGCTCTAGGTCTCCACTCAGTCTTGGCATTGGCCTGCTCCTGGTTTTTATGTTGTTTTCTTCTCTGAGTCTTCCACTGGTCTTCTTGCTCTTGCTGCTCCTTTTCTTGTTGAATTTGCACTTTCTCATTGGATTGGATAACAGCCTGCTTGCCTTTTCCTATAAGTGGGTTGGTTTTATTTTCTTGTTTCCCTTGGTCTCCTTTTGACTTATCCATTTTGTCTGCTTCCATCTCCTTTCTTTTTTGATAGTCCTCATCCCTTTGTTTGATTGTACATACATGTATCATGTGCCCTTGATGTTTACAGTACAAACAATAATCTGGAATACTGTCATATTCAATGGCTTGTCACTTCCCTCTAGTCAAATCTTCTTCATCATATCCAAACCAAATATGTTGTTGCTTCTCTTTTGTAAGGTCAATCTGGATTCGTACCCTGGCCAAACTACCTCTTGTTTTTTGGGCAGATGCATTATCTAGGTAGAGAACCTTACCAATAGGAGCCAAGAGGGCAGTTATGATTTCCTTCTTGTAGCAATGCCATGGTAACCCTAACAGGGAAACCCATACTGGTACTATGGGAGTTTCCTCTTCAGGTTTGAAGGTGGGGGTCCAAGTTTGGATCCTCATAAGCTGTCCTTCTATGGTCATTTTTTGCTTCGTCCATACAGTAATGTATTCCAATGCATTGTCAAGATCAATATATACATGCCTAGAGTTGAGTGAGCTATCTTGACTCCTCCAGATAATTGAGTTTGAGTTATGAAACTCTTCCTTAGCAGCTCCATCTTAGGCATGGCATTACTGAATTTTCCAATAAGGGTGAACCTGTAATATGTTGCCCAATTATTCATAAAATCATCTTCCTTAAATATCACTACCATCTTGCCTTGTTTGGTTGTGACCTTAGGGGTCTCAAAAATTATAGGAGCAGTATTTTTGGCCTGGTTGTATCAAAGTCTAGAAGCATAAGACTGAACCACAGTAAAAGGGGCAGTTTCTTGGGCCACATCCTTTTTGGGCTGTTGTTGGATATTATTTTTGTTTGTGTCTTTAGGAGGGATCTGATCCTGATACACTTGTTTACTCTGTTGAGTCTGAGGAGTGTGTCTAGTGAAATTATTGGAAATTTGAGGGAACTGATTTTGCTGCTGATTTCTAGCACCAGTCCCATTGTTTTGTTGTGTGCCTGCATATTCTCCATTCCCCTGTCTTGGTTTAGTCCCATTGACCTTTACCTGTGCATGATCAACAATTTTCTGGGCAACACTTATATGCTCATCAACATTATGTTGCGACTGAGTAGGGATTTTATTATTCACAATAACATTTAGTTGGGAGTTATGAGACTTAACCGACTGCACTTCTCTTGGTTCATTCAGGTCTACATTAGCCTGTAAATCTTTATCAACTGAATTATCAGTAGACTTAGAAACCTTTCCTGCCTGTGTTGCCTTTTCTTTTTGATCTGGACTTAAGATGATCACCTCCTTTGTAGTGTATTGCCCTCCTTGATGACTGCTCTTGCTCCCTTTGTGTTGTTGAGCACTCGAATTATCTTGGCTTTGGCTTTGAACTTGATCCTTCGCCTGATTCTTCTCTTGATTTAGGATACCAATAAATCTATTTGAATTCAAATCCTCCCCTGCATCTCGCACATTTGTTGCATTGTTAACGTCCTTTAACTCCACATTGCCTACTGCATCATTGATTTCTTTTGTGTTTGATAGCGATCTCTCCATCTGATCACTGTGACTTGTAGTTCCCTTCCCCTGCAAAGTTGAAGAAAAAATCATGTTAGATTGAATTTTAGAATTAGCCATTGTTACCTTGAGGTGATTTTCTTCATCCATAGGAATCGTTTGGTGTATCCTTTGTTCTTCCTTGCTGGCCGGAGCTCCGGCGACATCACCGGAAATTCTCTCGCCAGTGATTCCACTGTTGAAATGCTTAGAAATTTCAGTAAGATGTACTCCTTGACCTGGGGAGGAGTCCCCAGTAGTTGAGAGCTCATTTAGACTATCAGAAGTCGGTCGAATTTGAGGGAGCATTTCGGGCGATTTCCAGGCGATCCCCTCCAAAATCATCTTCGTAGATCTCTCAATTAGGATGATGGAATCCTTTGATTTTTGAACTGGAGATAGATCATTAGATGTAGATTCTAGATTCCCTGGCGTTTTAACCTGAATCATTCTGGAATTTTCCAGAGAAATAATTTTACGAGCCCAGTCCAACTCTTGCTCTGAAATCGCGAAGTGGATCGTTTCAGTTCTTCGCAATTTCGAAGAGTTGTTGGACGAATCTGAGGAGGCGCCCGAGTGGGGTTTGTTCATATTGGAGTTGCGCGTCGACTGGGACTGGTCCGGTGGTCGGAGCTGCATCTCCGGCGGCTATATAGCCATTCCGGTGGACTGCTGCTGCGTCCGCCTGCTAAGAGAATTTTTAGAGTGAAATGTTTAGAGAGAGAAAAAAATAGAGAAATGAGAAAGCGGTTCTAGGGTTTATGCTTAAGGGTTTGGGGTTTAGGTTTTAGGGTTTAGTGTTTTAGGTTTAGGGTTTTTGTTTTATGGTTTAGGGTTTAAGGTTTAGGGTTTAGGGTTTAGGGTTTAGGGTTTAGGGTTTAGGGTTTAGGGTTTAGGGTTTAGGGTTTAGGGTTTAGGGTTTAGGGTTTAGGGTTTAGGGTTTAGGGTTTAGGGTTTAGGGTTTAGGGTTTAGGGTTTAGGGTTTAGGGTTTAGGGTTTAGGGTTTAGGGTTTAGGGTTTAGGGTTTAGGGTTTAGGGTTTAGGGTTTAGGGTTTAGGGTTTAGGGTTTAGGGTTTAGGGTTTAGGGTTTAGGGTTTAGGGTTTAGGGTTTAGGGTTTAGGGTTTAGGGTTTAGGGTTTAGGGTTTAGGGTTTAGGGTTTAGGGTTTAGGGTTTAGGGTTTAGGGTTTAGGGTTTAGGGTTTAGGGTTTAGGGTTTAGGGTTTAGGGTTTAGGGTTTAGGGTTTAGGGTTTAGGGTTTAGGGTTTAGGGTTTAGGGTTTAGGGTTTAGGGTTTAGGGTTTAGGGTTTAGGGTTTAGGGTTTAGGGTTTAGGGTTTAGGGTTTAGGGTTTAGGGTTTAGGGTTTAGGGTTTAGGGTTTAGGGTTTAGGGTTTAGGGTTTAGGGTTTAGGGTTTAGGGTTTAGGGTTTAGGGTTTAGGGTTTAGGGTTTAGGGTTTAGGGTTTAGGGTTTAGGATTTAGGGTTTAGGGTTTAGAGTTTAGGATTTACGGTTTAGGGTTTAGGGTTTACGGTTTAGTGTTTAGGGTTAGGTTATAAGGTTTAGGGATAGGGTTTAGGAGTTAGGGTTAAGGTTTAGGGTTTAGGGCTATGGTTTATGGTTTAGGTTTAGGGTTTAGGGTTTAGGTTTTAGGGTATAGTGTTTAGGTTTTATTGTTTAGGGTTTACAGTTTAGGGTTTAGGGTTCAGAGTTTAGAATTTAGAGTTTGGATTAGGGGTTTAGGGTTTAGTTTTAGGTTTAGGGTTTAGGGTTTAAAGTTTAGAGTTTAGGATTTAGGGTTTATGGTTTATGGTTAGGGTTAGGATTTTGAATTTAGGGTTAGGGTTAGGGTTTATGGTTTAGTGTTTACGGTTAACGGTTAAGGGTCTAAGGTTTAGGTTTATAGTCAGGGTATATAGTTTAGGGCTTAGGGTTTAGGTTTAGGGTGTAGGGTTTAGGGTTTAGGATTTACGATTTAGGGTTTAGGTTTTAGGGTTTAGTCTTTTTGGTTCAGGGTTTAGGATTTAGGGTTCAGGGTTTAGGGTTTATGGTTTTGGTTTGGAGTTTAGGGTTTAGGGTTTAGGGTTTAGGGTATAGAGTTAAGTGTTTAAAGATAGGGTTTAGGCTTAAGGGTTAGGGTTCAAGGTTTACAGTATAGGGTTTAAGGTTTAGGGTTTAGAGTTTGGATTTAGGGTTTAGTGTCTAGGTTTAGGGTTAGGGTTTAGGGTTTAGGGTTTAGGGTTTAGGGTTTAGGGTTTAGGGTTTAGGGTTTAGGGTTTAGGGTTTAGGGTTTAGGGTTTAGGGTTTAACAGTTTAGGATTTACGGTCTAGTGTTTAGGGTCTAGTGTGTAAGGTTTAGGGTTTAGGGTTATGGATTTAGGGTTTGGGGTATAGGGTTTACGGTTTATGGTGTAGTGTTTAGGGTCTAGTGTTTAGGGATTAGGCTTGAGGGTTTAGGGTTTATGCTTATGGGTTTGGGGTTTAGGGTTTAGGTTTTAGGGTTTAGTGCTTTAGGTTTAGGGTTTAGGGTTTAGGTTTTACGGTTTAGGCTTTAGGGTTTAAGGTTTAGGGTTTAGGGTTGGGGTTTAGGGTTTAAGTTTAGCATTTAGTGTTTTGGATTTAGGGTTTAGGGTTTAGAGTTTAGGACTTAGTGTTTAGGGTTTAGGGTTTAGGTTTTAGGGTATAGGGTGTAGGGTCTATAGTTTAGGGTTTAGGGGTTAGGGTTTTGGGTTATGAGTTTAGAATTTATGGTTAACAGTTTAGGGTTAGGGTATAAGGTTTAGGGATATGGTTTAGGAGTTAGGGTTAAGGTTTGGGTTTAGGGCTTATGGTTTATGGTTTATGGTTTAGGTTTAGAGTTTAGGGTTTAGGTTTTAGGGTATAGGGTTTAGGTTTTATGGTTTAGGGTTAAGAGTTTATAATTTAGAGTTTGGATTAAGGGTTTAAGGTTTAGTTTTAGGTTTAGGGTTTAGGGTTTAACGTTTAGAGTTTAGGATTTATGGTTTACGGTTTATGGTTAGGGTTAGGATTTTGAATTTAGGGTTAGGGTTTATGGCTTAGTGTTTAGAGTTAATGGTTAAGGGTCTAAGGTTTAGGTTTATGGTTAGGGTATAGTGTTTAGGGCTTAGGTTTTAGGTTTAGGGTTAAGGTTAGGGTCTAGGGTCTAGGGTTTAGGGTTTAGGGTTTAGGATTTAGGATTTAGGTTTTAAGGTTTAGGGTTTTTGGTTTTGGGTTTAGGATTTAGGGTTTAGGGTTTATGGTTATGGTTTGGAGTTCAGGGTTTAGGCTTTAGGGTTTTGGGGTTAGGGTTGAGGGTTTAGTGTTAAGTGTTTAGGGATAGGGTTTAGGCTTCAGAGTTAGGGTTTAGGGTTTGGGGATGAAGGTTTATTGTTTAGTGTTTAGGGTTTTGGGTTTAGGGTTTATGGTTAAGGGTCTAAGGTTTAGGTTTATGGTTAAGACTTAGGGTTTAGGGCTTAGGGTTTATGTTTAGGGTTA